GTTCATTGTGTAATTCGTGCAACATTGCTTGCTCCCTTTGCCCTTGTACAGTGGTAGCACAAGGGCATCCTTCAGCTCAGCAGGCACCTCCTCCTCAATCCACACGCGTTGCACCAAGTGGTGCAGCGCAGTCAACATCGCGGGTCCGCCGTGTTTCAATACTTCCGGCGGGATCCCGTCGGCTCCGTCACATTTGCCGTTTCGCAGCTGAGCAAGTGCTCTCTGCGTCTCATCCAGTGTCGGCGTATCCGCCAGATCCGCCTTCACATCGTGCTGCTTCAGACCGTTCAATGTAGGCCAGTCGATCTCTGAACGGTTGTTCAAGAGACAGTCAAAGTGTTTCCGCCTGATCTGCATTATGTCTGCAGTCTGAGTGCAGGTAGCGCCTAAACTGCCATCGATCAGTGTCCTCAGCGACTCCAATCTCGGTCCACACACCGCCTTCAAGGAGTCAAAGAATTCCTTGTGTTGGCGGCGTTCGGCGTAGCATTCTATCTGTTTCGCCTTCTCCGTCCACCATGCATTTTTAATGCGACGGAGCTCTCGGGTCAGTCGTCGTCGAAGTTTGCGAAACTGACTACTCTTTCCCAAATCACTGGGGTCTGCAACATGTGCAGCAAATGCTGCATTCTTCTCCGACACCGATGCGCCCATCGTCGCACTGTTGTCATCAAACCAATCAGGCCGTTTACAGTTTGCGCGCCCGATGGTCTCCTCGGCAGCAGCTGTCACCTGGTCGCGAATGTGGTGCCACAGGTCACCTACTGTGGCTATGCAGTCCACATCACCCACAGGCGTGCAGCCATCGCCTTCTCCAGCTCAGTACGTTTCGCCACAGTACTGAGGGAGAGAATGTTAAATTTACGCCGATTCACGGCGGGAGTGCAATACATAGATTTACGAAAATATATGTACAGTTTGGTCCGCACCAACTTGTGATCAGTGCCACACTCAGCTCCACGCAGTACACGTGTCATGCGCACTTCACGCGTATCACGCTGACGTACGATGACATAGTCGAGCAGATGAGCGTGACCACTCCATGGGTGCGTCCAGGTTGCTATATCACTCGCACTCAGTGCAAACTGAGTGTTCGTGATCGTCAGGCCGTGAGTGGCACACAGTGGGAGCAGCCTGTCACCGTTCGCATTCGCTGAACCAAGGCCATGCGCACCGATAACATCTGTCCACACTGATGCATCACGCCCAACGCGCGCGTTGAAATCACCCAGCAGAAATAGTCGGTCGCTCCTCGGCACGGAGCGTATCACGGAGGATAGCTCAGTGTAGAACTGATCACGCGTGTCATCAGGATAACACATGGTCGGACCGTACGTGCTTATAAAAGTAGCAAACTTACCTCTTCCTAGTCGTAGGCGAACAGTCATTAGTTGCTCGCTGATGCCCGTTGGTTCACCCACCAGCTGGCCATGGAGGCGATCGGATATTGCAAATCCGACCCCATGTTCACGTGGTGCTGAGGCGGCGTTGCCCACCAGGTAGAATGTGTAGCCAGCACTTGCTTCATGCAACCTACCCTGCTCAGCGAGCCGAGTTTCACTGAGCGCCGCAATATCGATGTGGTAGCGCGCCAGCTTCATCGCGACGAGTGCAGTGCGTCGCTCCGGGCGCTCGCTGGAGTTCCGGTCCAGTAGTATGCGCACGTTCCAGCACCCGATGCTGAGTGCTTTGCGCGCAGGCATACGATTGCATTGGTGGGCAATCGCACGCGAGGTGGTCGTTGTGCTTCGGAGGTTTGCTTGAGGGACTCCACCCGGAGCCTTTGGCTCACTAGCCTGACCCACAAGGCAGTGGGTGATTTGGAGGTTTGCTTGAGGGACTCCACCCGGAGCCCTTGGCTCAATAGCCTGACCCACAAGGCAGTGGGGAGCAGATCCAGCTCGGGAATGTGATTGCACAGACAGATTGGGATCTGCTTGACGGCCGTCACACGCAGCCTTTGTGGTACTGGAACAATTATTATATGTTTTGCGACCGTAATTGAATACGCACCTGCGACCACGGCTAGACGCAGGTGGGTTTTTGGTGGGTTTGCATCAATTTGACCAGGGGCTGCCTGGCTTGAGGCGGGCAGTAGCAAACCATTGAACACCCGGAGGTGTCCTCCCATCGTCACAGACAATGCGTGGCACTCGTGCTCTACACCAATCGAGATGTGAGCTTATAACCCGTAAACCTGTTGTCTCCCATGGCTAGGTTTTGCGGGAAGAGGGCAATCGATCACTTCCTAACCTCCGAAGAGGATGGGCTAGGATACTGCCAGGGCGCCCACACCTGACAGGAGAACGACTCGGGTCCTCAGCCAAAGCCTTCGATTAAATGAACACCCGAAAGGCAGCGGGTCTAACACATGGGCAGTTAGCCGACTCATGCGGATTGGTGTTTTGGATCTTAGCAGGGAGAAGGGCGAAACCCAACTCCCACCCAGCGGTCGCCACGTGGAGGTGCCCAGGACATGAGACTATGGCGCAACAGTAGCAACAGTGGGTAGACCATCTGTCAGAATCTAGAGACAACCAGCCTCAGCGCACCATAGGCTCTCCCGCCTATATATATATATATATATATATATATATGTATATATGTGTATATATGTGTATATATGTATATATATGTATATATATATTATATATATATATATATATATATATATATATATATAATCTTGATTGCAGGTCATGGGAATCGAAGGCGTTTGATCGGCGTGCATGGCGCGATCTAATCACGAAGGCAGTTGCTGAAGTGCGGGAGAAAGCCCTCATGCATGCAGAGAAGAATCGGCAGTTGCGGAAGCGGCAAGCACCAATGAATTGTACTCCATCGACATCGAGTGCATTGTGCTGTAGAACGTGCGGTCGCGAGTGCCTTAATCAGGCAGGCCTAGTGGGCCATGAGAGAGGTCACTCGGGACCACTGCCGAAGCGACGACGGGTCGCGCAGTAAACGTAGGCAGCACCGGCGCAGTGTTTGTAGGCACGCTGAATTCGATTTACTAACTGGGTGCCTGCATGCTAAGTCTCTTTATTTCAGGTGGTGGGTTTTCGGTTCTCTCCTAATGTCTTTCTTTCTCATATGAATGTCTACCCGGCATGAGCTATGCCATTAGGGGCCACTACAGAAGCGACGACGGGTCCTACAGAGAATTACGGCGAGCCGGCGCAGCGTTTGTAGGCACGCTGAATTCGATTTACTAACCGCGTGCTTGCATGCTAA